CCCCCTAAAGTGCCCCAACAGGGGCTATATGGGGGTGTAGCCGGGGCTCATATAACATCTCTGAGCCCTGGCAAAGATGAAGATGAAGTTGTTACACATTTGTATAGGGCTAAAAGCCCCTGTCACACAGCCGACTATTCGGACCCTCTCCAGATCAAGTTTGGAGTTAATCATGGTCATCTGTGGTTGCCCACTGGTCCCTGCAGTCATCTGCTTCAGTTGACTGTAGATTTTTTAAAAAGTCAAAAGTTCAAAAGTTGGGAAAGTCATTGTCTGCTTGGATGCAATCAGTGGAGCAAACTGGAGCCAAAAAAGCATTACATGTGTAATAAATCCATCGAAATCACTTAAGTTTATATCATTTGTTCTGTACATGTACTCCAGCTATGAGAAGATGATCAGTGGCATGTACATGGGAGAGCTGGTGCGACTTGTGCTGCTGGAGATGACCAAACAGATGCTGGTGTTCGGCGGTCGCACCTCGACAGACCTGGAGACACGGGGAACGTTTCAAACCAAATACGTCTCAGAGATTGAAGAGTGAGTGGTTTTTGTACCAACCTTTCCACCTGCACGTAGTGTTGTATAGTTTCTTTACAAACCTATGTAAAAATCACAAAAGTGTAATTATATAATGACAAATAAAGAAAATGGTGCAAGAGCCTATAGGGGATTGAATATCAGCATCCCTCAAATGAAGAAACATGAATTAGACAATTTTGATGCCAAGAATACATATTGATAGGAAATCAAATAGATAAAGAACAAAGACGAAAATCAGTTAACCTATAAACATAATAATTATCAAAATTGGCACATAATGTACACAATGTAATACAAAATGTACAACTTATTAAATGAAATAACATCATAATAGATTTACAATAAAAAATCCTTCTCATTACAAAATCATTCACATGTCAACAATATATAACATAATGTTAAGTCAACCAGAATATTGAAGGGAGTTGAAATATGTAAGGGAAAAAAAAGAACAATAAACAAGGGAATACAAACAGATTGGGCAGATGGAATTTTTAAACGTTCGTGGTCCCCTGTGCATGAAAGAAACTGTCATATGTTGGATTTTGCATTTATTGGTCTTATATTGCTGTCTTTTTTTGTCTTATTTGCTGTGCGTTATAGGTATACATCTCTGAGGTGAGTTTAAATGCATCATATAAATTTCCTGCATGGTACAACAAACATTTGTGTAACATTTTGTAAAGCAAAGGCTAGTTTGCAGTTTGTTAATAATATATACATCATTCATATGTTTTCAGAATTCTTTGTATATTTAGTAGCAATGCAGAAAATGGTGAAGGAAACTTTTGAAGTCAATCTGGCATAACATTTCTGAAGCATAAACTGTGATTTGAGAGATGTCCGAATACATAATAATATTATGTGTAAAATAAGTCGTGGACATTTTTGGTGATAACAGATTTCTAACTCTTTGTTTGATACATGTACCTAAAATCTTTAATCAAAATGTTTTCTATGTCAATTTTTCATCAATCAAAAGACACACAAAAATGAGTCACAACATATATTTATAGTTATGATTAATGGAAATATCTGCTTCAAAATGAGAACTCGCTTTTCTTGCTGCAGTCTTTCAACTGATAATAATATCATGAATCTCTGTTGTCAAAGGAGCTTAATGGATGGATAAGAATTTTCAAGCTGTGCCATGTGGGAACAATCGGGCTATTCTTTTTTTTGCAGGCATAGGACCAATGTTAATGAAGACTATTAAATCTGTTAACTATTTCTTGTGGATCAGATATATACATTCATGAAATTTGTTGGCTTTCTTCTAGCATTGAGTACATTGTACTAATTATTTTCCAGGTTTTGATCAGTGGATGCAGCTGTGAACTTATCGCCAATTTCTTTCTGACATGCAAATGTTCAATGATACCTAGTTTCAGAAATCGCTTTTTCATTTTTGCTGTGCCCATCATCCAACAAAGTCCATTTAATAATCCTGTATATTGATACTGTAATATTCTGATGAAGTATCAAAGTCGACTCTAATCTCTTTCTCTCTCTGAACAATCGCTGAAATGTGGCGCTTTGGCTCAGCAGAATTGGCTCGGCAGAATGGACAGAATCTTTTTGCAGCTCTGATAATAAAAATGACTTCAACTCCAGGGAACCCATTGGAGACAAGAATCCAACAATGAAAATCCTGCATAGCCTGGGTCTGAAGCACGCTACTGAGACGGACTGCGAGACCGTGAAGGAAGTCTGCCGCGCCGTGTCAACCCGCGCTGCCCACCTGGTGTCTGCTGGCATTTCTGCTATTGTCAACAAGATGGGCAGGGAGAGGGTAGCAGGTGAGTGCATAGTACTACATACATGAGGACAAGCTGTACCTATAGTTCACAGACCAGTAATACAAACTTCAAAGACAACACGGTTGTAAATGTTCTACTTCAAAACAAAGCATACCAAGGAATTTTTTTATCACATTTGGTTAATTTTTATCATGAATGATGAATGCAACATGCATAAGAAATCATTGCTACATGTAAATGGTGTAACCCTTGTTCTGTACTAAAAGTACCAACTTTATTGACCTGAAAGTAGTACAGTAACTGTAGATACAGAATTAACTTTTTGCCTACAACTTACTCAGAAAACTCACTACTTTATTCTCTTGTTTTCCTGTAGTTGGTGTTGACGGCTCAGTCTACAAGTATCACCCCCATTTCAAGGAGCTCATGACACAGACCATCGACAAGCTGACCCACTGTGACGTCAAGCTGATGTTGTCGGAGGACGGCAGTGGGAAGGGAGCGGCGCTCGTCACAGCTGTGGCCTGTCGTCTGGCCGGGAAATCTTGAAGCTGTTCGTCTTCTTTTTTTTTTAAGTCACGTCACACAAATTTTTCAGTTTCACCTTATAAGTAACAAGAAATCAATAGAATATATCATGATCTGAATGATAAGGTGAGGAAGGCATGGTGAATATCATAGCCAAGTATCAATGCAATTCTGGGGCATTATAAGGTATTTCTTGTAGCAGTGTTTCAAGATATATGTGATATAAAAGAGCTATCTAAAATTCATACATTTATCATGCATTTATGGGCTTGGGGCAATCTGAACAAACATTTTGATACTTGTTTGCTTTCCCAGAGAAAGGATTTAGAGGGACTTTGACAACAAACTAGTTTCAGAGTTTGTGAAGAAACCTCCATGTGCCTTTACATTATGATCTTAAAAGTGGCTTGTATAGATATCTTTAGAGGTGAATATTTTGCTACCTTAAAACTAGTCTGAAAATTGTATGGTGAAGTTTGCCAGCTACATTTACATGTACTTGATTCAAGTGGCAGAAAAATGTCACTATTTTTTGTGCCATGACTTAACAATGCAACTGTCAAATGACCTCGTTCACAAAATTATATTGTGACTTCTATGTACACTACAGTGTTTATGTACCAGGTTCGAACAGCATTTTAGGACTGATGCATCAATTGGTGAAGTTTACCATCATTCCAAAGTAATAGGGACCAGTAACAGAAATATCCATCCTTACTCTTCCAATATTGGCCAATTTCTTGTAAAAGAAGTTAATGTTCCTCTAGCAGTTTTTCAGTGGGAATGAATGCAGTCAAATCTACATTGATCATTATCTAAGTAAAAATAGTCATAAAAGTTTGGCTTCAACCCAACTTGTATTACAATCATTATGTTGGATTCTTCACTTCAGACAGTGCCTGATAGACATGGTTACTATGTACATGTAGCTTGTCAATTAAAACTGCTGCCAATCAGATCAACACTTTTCACCTCATCATCAGCCCACAGCAAGTGTCAAACATATGAGAACCGGTATTTTACATTTTTGCATAAACCCTATTTGTAACATTGCAGCAACCAATTTATGTACATGGAAAGTACAAATGTATAATCAGAGTACATGTATTTGACACAAATGAAGCTTAGGTATATATGGATGCTTAGGTACATACCAGGGGTATAGATGCTTAGAACATATAAAAACACAATAAACTCAAAAGAGGCATTAAGTTTCTTGCAGATTTATTTCACAGTGACACGTTAGCTACAATAGCTGCACATCATGGTCATGTATACAGGCCATCATTCCAGGAGGAAAACAAACAGTATTACTTCTTGTAAAGTCTGTGGTGATAAAAAGTCTTTTGTTTGTCAACTTGTAGACAACTTAAGAAAGCCTGGTATAGTCCTTCAGTCCATCCTGGGTCTTTGGTCATACAGATCTGATCAAGCTGGTATCATCCAACAAAACTGATAGCACCTCGCTCTGAAAGGTAATACATGGATGTGACCAGTAAGACTCCTGTGTCTGTCATACTACATTACACAAAAAAAATTGCTCGCTGTCCATAAATCTTGTGAGAAGTTGACACCATCCTCTTTCGCAACTACGTACTTGGTGTAAAATTGTCAAAAAAATGAACACGATAAAAAAAGACAACTCAAGAAAGTTAAAGCTTTGAGCTAGTTGTTCTGTTAAAAACTTATCACTTTAATTAGCTTCGCAGAATTCAGTATTCACAAATTATACATGTAATTTTACACCTCTCTTGGGCTGGGTGAACCTATAGAGCCCAAGAGAGTGTGCCAGTTAACCATTTGGCACATTGCCACTATGACCTCTGACTACAAGCACTTGTCATCCCTCTTGTTAGTGCAATGTTAGAATCCAGATTTATACTTGAAATGCATTGTGAAGAGGGCTGTAGTGGTCAGAGGTCATAGATCGTAAGATTAGCAAGGCTCTCTCAGTGGTGCTTACTACACAATACTACCAGCTGCAACAACCAACCAGTCGTAGGTCTTGACTCGCTAATGTTCTCCAATCAGAGATGTCGACAGGCAACACAGAAACATCTCATTTTGACATGTTTAAAGATTCGTCGAAAGGTAAGGTAAAATCTTAACTACAGTCATGCCCCTAGGCTACACTATGACATGATTGAAAGTACTATGCATTACTATGTCTTCTATTGTTCATGCATCATCTCCACTCACACATACACAGCACTAACTACAGATCCACATATTCAATCCCAAATTTTTAGTCACGAGTACTAAGGTGCAATTTCTGTTGATGCACTCAACAGAACCTGACACAACATGTGCTGTTTTATGTGTTTGGTGCACACTTTGGCAGAGGTACATCATTTGAAACAAAAAAGAAATGCAAAAGCAGTGGGTTAAAACATATCACAGCTGCATGGCTAAAAGTGTTCATCAACCTATTCTCGACACTCGGGGATTTACATTGCACAACCTACATACATACAATTAAGTTGGTGGTCATTTTACTCTACCATTGCCATGTAGAACTTCAACATTTGTTTCTCAAAAAAAGGAGTTTACCACAGTGACATCAAGCTCATCTTCAGTAGTTACTCATATTTCCATACATTCTTCTAGTGCAAGACATAATGTAATTTTACAGAGCAGACATCATAAGCAAAGCAAGGGTGATACAAGTTGTCAAGAATTCAGTTTGCTCATTCATATACAACACACTCACTCTAGGACTGAGAATATTTTGACTGATTAGTATACAGTTAGTTCAGCTGAAGGCAGCAGTTGTTATTGGTAGCTGATGTGAAATGTAAAGTCACTATGGTATAC